TTTGGTCTTAATTTCCCGTTACACCCCAAGCTAAGGCGTTAGCCCATCATTGCTCGGTTTCTTCTCTCGAAGGATGTAAGGACTGAAAAATAAATACCTAAGACAGAAAAGTAAATTGCATAAGGTAAATTACAAAAAGTAAATTACAGGAAATGGAAATACTGGAATTTAAAGTACTGGAAATTAAATGACAGTATTGTAAATTGCAGTAAAGTAAAGACTGAAATGTAAATGACTGAAATATAAAAGACTGAAATATAAATGACTGAAATATAAAGACTGAAATATAAATAACTGAAATATAAATGACTCAAATATAAATGCTGAAATATAAATGCTGAAATATAAATGCTGAAATATAAATACTGAAATATAAATGCTGAAATATAAATACTGAAATATAAATACTGAAATATAAATTATTAATAACTAAATAATATTAATTAATATTAATCTAATAATAATGAAAGGAAGGTACTTGATGTATGACAAGTAGTACTTTGATGGGATGAGGAAATGACATATGAAAACCTTGGAAATTGGGGTTGACTTTTGAAGAAAACTTGCAAGTCAAGTAATGAAACATGCAAAACAAGTTTCGTTACAAAGACCAAAAGGTTGCTTGGAAACTCGTAAAAACTGATTATTTAGTCTATGTAAATTAGTCGTGAGCCACAAAGGATGAGATCCGATGTAAAGCAACAACGATCGACTAATTCGTAACTTGTAAAAGATAAAAAAAGTAACATAACTTGGAACATAAATGAGATGAAGATTAAATACGAGTACTTAAATTAAAACTTGAGAATGAAATCACAACTACAAAAGTTGGTTCTTGAAAAGACAAACAAAGAAAACCGAAACTTGGAACCGAAARCAATATTCTAGAGATCAATTATCACTAATATCACAAGTGTTAAATGAAAGAAAGTATGAAAAAGTGTCTTCAAAACAAGGCTTAAGGCTTGTTTATATAGGCTAAGGAAGATCACATAGTGGGTGCCAACTAATAAGACAAAAGCTTCTTCAAAACTGGGCTTTGACCGGGCCCAAGGTCGTTGACCACGCCTCCTCTATGAATCATCCCATTTCTTCACGGCCCAAGCAGAATTTCAGCTCTCGGACAGGTACTATAGGACCTTGCCACTCATGGTCCTGTAGGACTGCCGTAGGACTGGGCTCAAAAATCATCAAAAACCTGTAAAATAGGGAATTAACATTAGATATACTATATTACTACTAATATATGAAAAATACATAAAAAGACTCTATTAAGACACTAATGGGCAAATAAAACAAGGGAAAATGGTTAAGAAAATGATGTAATAAGGTTAATAAATTAACACTTATCACACCCCCAAACTTGAATTATTGTTTGTCCCCAAACAACAGAAAATGACAAATAAAAAGACTCAAAGTTCTAATAAACTAAAACAAATTGAGCATAAACATTCCATAGCCAAAGTATGCATATTTTTGAAATTTTTTGAATGAAAGTGTTATACTCTTGACTTGATGCTTGATATTCATAGTCCTTCGAAAACCTAGCTCCCCCAAACTTAAGTCTTTCATATTGCCAAACCATAAGCTAGCCTACATTTCTTTTGCTATACTAGATTCAATAGATAGATTGGGACTTTGAATTGGGTTTTGCATTTGGCTTTTTCTTTTCAATGCATGCCTTTTACCTCATCTCACTTTTTTCACTCCATAGCACAATTTTACTACTATGCATCTCATATTGAGGTATTTTGGACACTATGGTCCTTTTCAAACATTTTGGTGTACTTTGACACTCTATTGTATGCACAAGACATGGAACTATGTTCTTTTGTTTGTCTTTTGGTCTTAATGCATATATATCATGAACTTTATAAAGTGTTTGGTACTTTTAGGACCCTCCCCCAAATTTAAGGGAAACATTGTCCTCATTGTGAGTGTAACAAGGCTACAAATTGGCCAAATTTAAAATGAAAGCCCAATTGAATCAAGTTCAAGCTTTAGAAATGGTTGGCTAGTTCTAGAGGCTCAATTTAAGACAAATAATGTGTAACTTTGGATTATTGTGGCTATGGTATCAAGTTCAAACATTTATACAACGAATTCATCATTTATTCTATTTTT